CTATAAGAACATGTAATGAAAAATTGGAGGTTCTATTTAAAAAATTCAAAGTGACCTTGTCCTGACCTTGGCGACGCCACTCAGGGTCAAACCAATGTTATCATCTTATGTCCTCCTCGAAACCCTACAACTTTTGTCTGAAACATTTTTTTCTAGTGTGCTTATTTTTCGAGATATTTGAAAGTTTCAGGTTAAAAAAATCACCCTGTATGTGAGGCATTCCCTGTCAAGCGGGCCACCCTCTCTGTCCAAAATTCAGCTCAACTAAAAAATTTCTTCTTGGTTGAGCTGAATTTTGGACAGAGGAGGTGGTCCGCTTGACAGAGAATGCCCCATATATAAAATTGCAAAATTAGTCGTATTAGACGGGACAAAATTCTACATCTACAATTTTATATACCATATAATACGAAAAACGCCTGAAAAATTTATCGAAAAAAGTACACACATTGTCAAAATACAATAATTATACACGAAAAAAATTATACACGATACGTAAAATTATTAGCACCATTTCTGATAGCTGACGCAAAAATTGTAGATGGTGTAAAATATAGGCTTTAGACATTTTACGATTCGAAAGGTTTGAGCTACGTCCCGCACGTCATTTCTCACGTAACTGTTATGTTATATCTCGCATCTAACTGGTAAATATGCATGCAGAGATCATCGAGATTTCATCGATCGTGATCGGTAAAACGGCCGCGGCATGTAAATCGTTTGTCTTTCCTTCGCAGGCGATCCCATCAACTGCCTGACGGACAATAACCATGGCCATGTGATCAACACGTATTGCTGGATCACGTACACGTTCACGCTGCCGGCGAACAACGCGAAGCCCGTGGGTACCCACGTGGCCCATCCGGGTCTGGGTGTTAATGACGGGGAGAAGAGGTACCACGCGTACTACCAGTGGGTGCCGTTCATGCTGTTCCTACAGGGCGTGCTCTTCTACATACCGCATTGGATGTGGAAACAGTGGGAGGAGGGTAAAATCAGGATGATATCCGAGGGCATGAGGGGCGCCATGATCGAGACCAAACAGGAGCGACAGGCTAAAACTGAAAGAGTCGTCCAATATCTTCAGGAGACCATGCACCTGCACAACAGCTACGCCGCCGGATATTTCTTTTGCGAGGTCCTCAACTTTGTCAACACTGTGAGTAGATGTTTGCGAAAACCTTCTGGAAGCGATTTAGAAGATATCTAAACTAGGGCTGTTACTTTTTACTCACCTCGAATATTCGAAGCCTCGAGCTTCGGAAGTTTAAGGTACCTTCGAAGCTTCGAAGTTTAAAATTAGCTCTCGAAGTTTTGAAAAATACATTAAAATTTGAATTTTTAATTGAATTGTTTTATCGATTATTATCTTCCTTATTTACACATATGTATCAATTTTAATTATTAATTTCAGGTTATAATACTTTTCAAATTTTTTAGGAATAATTCCGTAGATATATTAATTCTTTTTATTTACAATATTTGTAGATTTTCTGAATAAACTTATCATTTGCACAAATGTATTTTTCGAAACTTCGAAGCTTCGAATCTTTGAAGCTTCAAAGTTCGAATGTCGAAGCCTTCGAAGCGAATCACCGGCCCTAATTTGAACTTCTTTTTTTTTCAAGTTATCACAAGGCTATAAAATCAGGTAGGACGTTAAAACTTCGACAAGTAGAAAAAAAATAGAGAAGATGTAACAGATCAACACTTTAATTGAGAATAGCGAATTAAAACGATCGTTGGTTTTCCTCAGGTCGGCAACATATTCTTCGTGGACACCTTTCTGGGCGGCGCTTTCCTCACGTACGGCACGGACGTGCTGAAGTTCAGCAACATGAATCAAGACGACCGTACCGACCCGATGATCGCGGTGTTCCCGCGCGTAACCAAGTGTACCTTCCACAAATTTGGTGGCTCCGGTACAATCCAGACGATCGACGCGCTGTGCATACTCGCGCTCAATATCCTCAACGAGAAGATTTACATCTTCCTGTGGTTCTGGTTCATCATACTGGCGGTCTTCTCCGGCCTGGCGGTGCTGTACAGCATGGCCATAGTGCTGATGCCCAGCACGCGCGAAACGATTCTCAAGAAGCGCTTCAAGTTTGGCACATCAGCCACGGTCAGCACGCTCATTCGAAAGACGCAGGTGGGATTTCTTCTTCTTTTTTTTTTCTTCGACTAGTCGACGATCGATAATTGTAAACTGCAGGCGAGTGCTCTTTTAAGGGGTTACACC